AAATCTCTGGCTGGGCGAAAGTCTTGGCAGTGCCGTGAGTTGATAGAGGAGGACATGCAATATCAGCTTAAGTCAAGTCTATTGATTTGCTCAGTGTTGATATCACACCCAGAGACGTTACTTATCAGGATCAAAGATATTTAACACAGCTTAGAGTATCATGTTTTAGTATTATTTACACTTAGTGGCCAGTTTATTAGGTGCATATACACTAGCTACAATAAATACCTGCAATAAATCCTACCTTCACAAAGGTTATTATGTTCAGTTTCTGTTGAAACCATTTTAGAGAGGTGTTGATTCATCTTTATAGTCCTTTTTACCACTTTACCTAATAAAACTTGTATATCGGAGACACTGCTGGGTGACATGCTTGAAGTCACAGCACTGATAACAATAATTTTCTGATACTCATTTGCTATATGTCGTAAAATCACACTGATATAAATGAATAAAAGAAAGAATGGATGAAATTATCTGTGCCCTGCTGTTACACATTACATAAAACATATGAGAAAAAATAAACTTAAATAACCAATTGTGTTTTTAATCAAAATTAGCTTGGGTTCCTAATAATTCTGACAGAATATGAAATGATAACGTGTGATAATCGTATCAACACAATACGATTGAACTGACAGTTAATGAAAAATAATATTGAATTGTCATCCAGCCCTAATGTCTCGAAATGTATTGCTGTTCAAGTGATACATGGATTGTCCTGTGTGCTATAAACAAGCTGTTGATATTAATATGAACCCTATCTCTCTTCGCCTCCTCCTCCTCCTCCCTCCCACTATTCTTTTCCATTTCTATCTCACCTCATTCTTGTTCTTCGTTTCTCTGATCTGATTTACCGTTATGAGAAGTGACTGTCAATCAGAATCTGGGCAATTCTATTACCTGAAACCCCTTATTGAAACTACATCCACTTTTACTGCGCTGACACACCAACCAACATCTGTGCACACACACGTTCATATATTCGCACACAGAGGCGCACGCAATATTGACACAGGTAGACGGCACACATGGATGAACACTCAGCAAGCAGACACGCAGGTTTAGGCACAGGACAGAAAGAAAGAAACAGACACACCTCTAGACACTTGTCATGGTCTTTCACTGTTCTATTTGCTCTCAATAAACCAAATCTCAGCATATTTTGGTAATGTCGCTCCAGGCAGGGGGAGGAGTGTCCTAGGAGCCCACTGCAGAGAGCCTCATTGCCAACCCACTGCGCCAACCCTGATGACATCGTCACTATGCACCATTCACCAGAGCAGGACCTGTCCTATTGTGACTGCCTCAGCTGTTCGTATTAAATACGTGACATTTGACGATAATACTGTCCAAAACAAATCACTTTAAACATTGATTGGAGCAACAGCAGTCAGTATGCTCATGTATCTCTAGTATTTCTTGATCACTGTAGAGGGTTTAAGTTTCACCCATTACAAAATTATGATTGGACAAAGGATGCAATTTGAAAAAAAAAAAGTGATTTGTCATTCAGGAAATGCAAATAACACAGATTACTAGTGAATGTATCTACTACTACCAGAGTATGTGGTTGCTTACTAATTTCTACCAGGAGAAAGTGTGTAGGAGGTAGGGGTCATATGTGAAGCAAGAAAACAGAAATAATGTAAGATAATTCCTTCCTTGGTGATTCTGCTGCAAGATTTACATTTTCAGATTAGTTTTTTTAAACCATCTGATGATCATGGAAATTCTCATATAGTGATACAAGTAGCCCATGATGTCATATGGTTTGTTCAAACTTTACTAAAGACAGTTACTATGTTCTTGGAAAACAGCCCGCAGCATCAAGACATTAAAAACATCATTCAGATTTCTCTCTTGAATCTAAAATAACTGTGAATATTTAGTTTAAAGATATCCTAGTGTTATGGGCATTCAGTTCTGTGTTAAAATTTTGTGGATTTGGATTTGTGGGTGTGTAGTTTTCTGCTCACATAATTGAAGGATATTTTATTCATATCATTATTCATGTCATTATTATACAACAGATGCTTTTCTGCCTACACTAGTGTCTTCAACTACTTTTTTTTTTTTTTGCTGTGTCCTTTTATCTCATCACTCTTTCTATCCTTAACAATATAATCCCATTGCCTTCCTCCTTCTCAATGTTCTAATGTTACCTTTAGCTCGTTCTCCCTTCCTATAACTCTACATACTTATCTACTTGCTTCCTTCCCTCACTCATTTTCCTGCCCATTTATTTCTAACCCTGTAAAGCACATCAGCAATGATTTTAACAACTCCTCAATCGGCTGAATTCTCAAAAATGTTTTGCCCCAACTCCCCAAATCTATTCTGAGTAACCAATTTACATAAGCACACCTGGCCAATACAATAAAGCCACCTTATGCAAATCCATTTAACCAGTTTCATTTTCTGCTTCTGTTGAATTTCTGTTGAAGTTCTTGTGCAGCAGAACATGCAGCAGCATTCATCAAGTTTGTAAAACTTGGTAAAGCTCTAAATATGGTTAAAGTAAATGGCTAAATGGTATTAGGAATACTAATCTCTATAAACATGCTCACCCATTTATTTTTCAGTATTACATAGTATGAATGTTACATACAAGAATGTATTTTTAATGGCCTGAGCTTCTCTCAAACGTATGATGTACTCAATTTCATCATAATGAGCTTAAGCCTTCTAATGTCCTTTGAGTACTACAGTCTTACTTCAGACAAAACACTAAGCCTTGGTAACTCGACATCCTCTAACTTTGGAATGAAAATGAACCTGAATATGGTTAATTCTATCGTGAAAGAAGGGTGAAAGATAATACTCCTGATGTCTGCTTGTGAACCATATGTAGACATGTCTCAGATAGAGAATAGCTGTATCTAGCTCACTTCACTTGATAAATCACTGCAGTACTTAAACTAGTGCCAGTATGCAGGTTATTATGCATACAAAAACACACCCATCTGAGAAAATGTAACTCTATTTTTCAGTTACATATATCAGGTAACAAAATGTTTTCTGACAACAGATATATTGATCACTCTTCTGCCTATACTGACACACACAAACGCACATAGCGTACATACTCTCAAGGAGACACACATGCCTACACACCACACACTGGAAAAAGGCACCTCCCACAGAGAGCCCACATAACCGCAGTCGATCAATAGTGTCATTGGAATGTTTAACTTTGAGCCCCCGGAGATCAATACAGATTTCTTAACAGGAACAAAATATATATTTCTGTCAAATAATGATGTGTTGCTACAGTGGAAAGCAGTGACTATGATGTCGGGTCAGCCACAGCAGACAAACAGAAGGGAAGGAGACAGCGTGCTGGCTTTAAATTGCCTGTTTTTTACACGCTGCACCACCCTTGAGAGACTGTGTGAGAAAAATTCAAATCTGGTGGAATTGTGAAATACACTTGGTTATATGTGCAGCACTAACAGTAGGTCTCACATTGTGTCATAGGACTTACTATGGGCCACTTATGAAACGGAAATGGAGCGCAATAAATTCTTGCAATGCCTATACAGCATACAGTATTAATATAGCTACAAAGATAGGAATATATAGAGGCGAAACGCTTCAGTACTAATATAGCTACAAAGGAAGAAATATATAGAGGAGAAATCCATTAGAAAAGCAATAGGGGATAAAAACAAAGATAGCCCATGACAGAAGATGACAGGTGGACGTTTAAAGCCCTGGGAAGAAAAGAAAGAACATTCAGATGGGCTGTGAAGGACAGAGGAAGGGTGAATTGAATAAATAAAGGCAGAAATAAGGGAGGAAAAAAGGTCCTCTAGACAGAAGGCGATGGAGGGCGAGGCAGAATGAGAAACAGCAAAATAGAGAAGAGTGTGTATGTGAGAGCGTGCAATTGAGAGAGAGACAGAGCCAGTGACAGACCACATGGGAGCAGACGAAGGTGTGTGCAGCATGTCAATACAAATGCTAAGTCACTCAAGGGCTTCCATCCAGGTGAAAACTTAGCGTTGCTTCACAGTCAGGCATTCGTTAGAGAGATATAGGGAAAACTGGTGGCTTAAGATGGAGGGAAAAGTACAGGATATCAAATATCTACATTTGGCTGAGCTTATCATGTAATCAAGTCACATTTTGTCTCTTTTCATCAGCTATTCCCTGTGACATCAAACACCACTGTGCACCTTTACCCTTCTCCTCAACATCCAGCCTCCTATTCTCCATTTCTTCCCCTCTTTCAAATATTCAAACAATGTCACATCTCCCTCTGTCATTATCTCTTTTTTTCTGTTTCTTTCAGCAGAGAAACCACTCTGTCCATCTACTACGCCAGCAGGGCCAGCAGTGTGGCTGCCGCAGCATTACTGATTCTTCACTGCCATGGCCCTAGGTTCCCTAAAGGCATAACAGGAACCCTGGGTATTTATGAGGGTGTAATCTCCTACCTGGGTTGCACTCACACGTCCTCTCCCATCCCTGTGACCGGGTGACCCAGGGGATGGGCCGCTGGACGGACAGTTCTGAGCCTGCAACATGACAGCCGAGCAACATGAAATGACAGGGCTGAAAGTAGGATGAGAAATGGGAGATGAGAAGTGGAAGAAGGAAGACCCCTGCCTGGAGACACACTATAGTAGTGCCACAGGTTTGTGTAGTAGATACACTATCTCTGGTTATAGATTACTTAGACAAATATCAGTGTTACTTACATTTGCAGTCAAGGTGCATCTGTCGTGTCTAGTAAATATTTTCATTTCATTTGTATAATGTGAATTGCAAATGCATTTCTTTTTAAATATGCCGTAATTATACATAATAGTGTAGTGAGATTAACTGCTTCCTCCAAAAAAGACCACAAAACAATCACGGATGAATAATATCCAGTGGCAAAGGCCAGGTAATGTATTTACAGTACATAACTATGTATTCATGTATGTATAGTTTTCCAGTGTGTCTCTAGAAAGAGGAAGGGAGGGATTGAGCAGATGAGGGGTAAAGGATACATTCGTACGCCGCCTGATCTGGAGCCAATGGCCAGGATCTTCTGCACCGGGTCAAAAGCCAAAGCAGTAGGCTGGTAAGGAAAACCATGACGCACCGTCTGCAAGGGAAAAAAACAGAGCAATATTTTAATTAAACAAGGAAAAACATTTTAGGACCATAGGGTAATTAAATGATTTTATCATTTAATAACTTTTCCTGCCCCTACGACATTCAACTGTGTAATGAATCCAGTTGAAGCTTTGTCATTTTGGAAAGCTAACTGTTCATTTTCTAAAACTATGACCTTTAATTCTGTCAAAAAATAGATGACTAAATAATGTTGTAAAGACACATGCCTAATATTACTTGTATTTGCACACCATTTTAACATTTGTCAACACAGAAAGCATTAAATATGCATCAGCATTTCAATGAACAGAAAGCTTATTGAAATTCAAAAACCTTTACAAGGTCAACACTCTTCTACTAATAAAACATGGTGACTTCACTCTGTGTAATTAACAAATAAACTGCGGCTTCTGTTAATGTTGCATCTGGAATAAACTGAATTGCCTGACAAGGCAAAATGACACCGTCTATCCCACTCCGAGATGCACTGCATTCACTGCAGCTGTCTGCCATTAGTAATGTTAAATATCACAGTAGTGCCTCAGTTCAGTTTGCCTCATGCTATAGATAGGAATGAAAACTTTATAAATATCAGATCATAGTTTAATTGTCTTAAAAAAACTAATGAATACCAGTAAGTAAGAAGCTTCAGTTCTGAACCCAGAATTAAGTCATCAGTGGTTTGTTAATAATATAACACTCATTGTTGCCCAACACCCACACCTCATCACCAGCACAAACACCTTTGCTGCCTGAACTGCTGTAACAGGGGTTTTTGTGCTCTCATTAATACTGAAGAGTCATGGATTTAGAAAGATAAAATGAGAGTCTGTGGATGAATTAAATGGTTATAAAACACAGAATGAAATCACTCAATGGTGATTAGAGTCGACAGAGGAAAAAGAGAAACAACACAGAGATACTGTGAATCCCATTGCAACCACAGGGCACAGCATGGGTCTGTGCTTCTGTGTCTGTGTGTGCATGCTTGGCACATATTTCCCATTCATATTCAATAAACAAGAGCTTCTGTGTGTGAGTCTATATTGCTAAATGTTTAAAATTACTAATATTATTTACACATATTGCATATTTATGAGTACAATACTATGGTGCATGACATGTTCAATTCATGTTATATTTAGGGTAAATGGACGAGTGTGTGTGCGTGTGTGTGTGTGTGTGTGTGTGTGTGTGTGTGTGTGTGTGTGTGTGTGTGTGTGTGTGTGTGTGTGTACACTGCTGTAGCATACCAATTAAGAGTACCTGACCTTCAGATACACATATATCTGTCACTCCACTAATACATTCACAGCGGGTTTTCACTGCTACATTTAGGCCAGTGAGTGCCTTGCATACAAATGGAGTCGTGAACAATGACATAGATCATTTTTAAGAGATAAAAACAGTAAACTTAGCATCATACAGTGCATGTAATCTGCAGAAAGATGGCCTCATTAAGATTCATATATTAGCTACATTTGCTTGTTCTATTTTAATCCCTTTGAATTCTGTTTTGAAAGTACATAATATACTCAGTCCCTCAGTTTAAGAATGGGCTCACACTGCAAACAACAATTTCCGGCATTCTCCTGTCAATTTTTAATTTTAATTCATTTAATTTTTAATGTGACTTGTGAGACAATTAGCCAGCAAACACTAATTAGAAATCTTGAGCGTTGTTAATGTTGCTGCTCTGTTTATCTTTTAGAGCGTTCTTCACACCGCAGTTTGAAGTGGAACGGACTGAACTTTAATTGAAAAAATAGGCCCAAAAAAAACCAGTCATGAATTATAAAGTATCATAACATGTGCTTCTTTTATTATAATGCCTGAATGTTAAAACATCAAAATAAGCTCTTTTATGCAGTCAACACTGAATAAATGTATTGCTTAGTACATGTAACTCACAATAATGCACATAATCTGGAAGGCTTTAGGCTGTAACATTAAGAAATATACCATGAACCATGATTTAATATGTGCTTGCATTAAACAAGATGACTTGATGCCAAAAGTAACAAAATTTTAAAGGGTTCAAAAGTAGGACAAAGTTTATAGAATGGGCACTGACACGTGCCTTCACCCTATCGTTAAGAATCACTTGCCTCCCCCTTCACCACTATTTTTTTAAAAGGGCAAAGAGGAAGTGTTTATCCAAGGTGTCAGGCAATAAATGTTTGAGCCCTTGACAGCAAAGTGAGCTGCAGACGATCCTGGCAGTGATGTGTCAAACTGACACCCAAAAACACTTCTCTGACTTTGACTCTGATCAAAAGGGGAATTTTATTAAGCAACCCAATTGCATCAGCAAATGATTCCGACAAAAAAAAAGAGCCACATTCATACAGAGAAATCATTCATATATAATGGCTGTGCACACACGGTGGACAAGCACATACATAGAATAACCTGGCCAGACACACACTTCATCCTCCAGGTCTTGCCACCAGGTCCATTTAGGTTCCCTAGTCCAACTCTGGTGCACTGTTGCTGGGATACAGGAGAGCCACCCCCAACATATACATACAAGAGAGCCAAGAAGTGGATGAGAAGAATTTACTCTGGTGAATCTCAGAGCTGCTCATATATTTTTTAAGACCAAAGCCATAAAGCCATTTTTCTCCCTCTTTCAGTAATGGTGTTTGTACATGTAGTATATGTGTGTGAGAACAGGCACCCATCTATCTATCTATCTATCTATCTATCTATCTATCTATCTATCTATCTATCTATCTATCTATCTATCTATCTATCTATCTATCTATCTATACACACATATAACAACACAGCTTAATTCTTTTGTGGTTTTCCATTGTCTAGAATAGAGGTACCTAATTAAGTCTTTTTCAGTAACAATATTTTAAAGTCTGATTAGGGAGCTGGTTACCAACATAGGTTACCAACTTATCCCAAGATTACTCCACAGTCAGAAACAGTCCAAAAACTAACAAGGGAAAATAAACACAAAGTATTAATCAAATGTATGTTTGTTGAAGCAGCCAAGATGTACATTTAGAAACACAGTCAGCCATACAGGAACTGTTAACCTGCTGCAAAGGACCTGCAGTTATGGCTGCCGGAGGCTGCATTACATCAACTCCGCTCTCCATCTACTTCCTCCCCTTTTTCTCTTCTCCCCTGGTGTGTTGTTCCCTGTCCTCCACACATACACAGCCTTTATGCACACAAGCCTGATGTTCAATCAGATAACCCCACACAGACGTTCCCAACCCCCAAAGACTAGCACTACCTCATACCACCCACCATCCTCCCTCTCCACACAGCGTTCAGCTGCAGAGCTGGTCTAGACCCCAGGTTCTATAAATAGCAAGCAGCACCCATGTCTACCACTGCCAGCAAATTGTGCATTGAGCAGCTATATCTCCAACCACGGATCAGCACAGTGAATTATGACATTAAATTCTCAAATATATCTTTATGTGACTGCAGTAATTGTCTATAATATTAATACTAGTATAAAGGTACAAAAGATAATACTTATTTAACACTAGTGTGGTGCCGCTTATTTAGGATCATAGAATCTTTAACATTTGCTTTTACCATTTGGTATTGAGTATCAGCATTTAACATCCAGCCTGTGCATTTTTCATTTCTCTGTGTGCCTGAGAGTGTGTGAAAATGAAACATTACTTGTACTTATTATTACTTATGCAATAGTTTTTCTCTTCTCATGCTTTCTTGTTAGCAAAGACTAATGTATAAAATGTTAGCAGGCTTCAGGTCCTTAGACATAACGAATCATCACATATGCCAATTAAAAATGACACATGTGGTCTGTGTAAGATTATATTAGTTAACAATACCCTGACAAAAAGGCAAAATGTTTGTTCTCTTGAGAGCTGTAACTGAAAACTGAAAAGAATTACTCGTGTACCAATCTATGTTTTAAGGAGTTCAAGAAGACCAACAGTGTTGTGAACATTCACACACTGACCTTACATATGATCATAATGTAAAGACATAATAACAATGAGCACTATCAGTACCAGATGCATCCAGGTTGCTAGTTTCCTAGTTTCACATTATATATTATTATCAAAGAAAATGTCCACTATATCATCAGTAGAAGTATTAAAGTAAAATTTCCCCACTTTATTTTAGATTTAGATTTATAGATATCAGCAAATTAAAAAGGCCATGTCAGGAGATAAACTACAAAGAAAGGGAGAATTGTTTTGATAATTATAAACTTTATTTTTGATAAATGTATGACTTTTTAAGAGTTAGTAAACAACAAACAAAGCTAATTTATTATAAAACTGAAAAAGATATTACACACAAGTTGCTCTTCATCATCACTGAAAAACACATTTGGCTGATGTTTGTGTCATCCAATCCATGTTAAGGTCACATGAGTCATTCAGCAGGATGCAGTGACCATAGTTGTGTTAAGTAAATAAAGAACAGACCAGGTCTCATTGAGTGATGAACCTGAACTTATGCTCACTAGCCACTTTAAGAGGTACACTTGCATAGTCTAATGCGGTCAGTCTGCACTGTATCGTCATAAATGTGTAAATTCAAATATATGTTTTAGCATTGAGTTCATAGTCAGTGGTGGTGTTGTGAAAAGGACAAAACAGCTTTCAATATAAAGTAGTCCAGTACAACACCACCTTATGCCTGAAAATAAACATCATTACATTTTAACATATCAATATGAACAAGAGATGTACCTCAGTAGTCCCTTATTATATTCATGGCAGTGAAGGATGATTCTTCACCAGATAACTAAATCCTTATGTTTAAACTGAACTAAAGTGGCATGCTGACACTTTCTACGCTAGGCCTGTCACAACTGAGGAGGGGCCATATCCTATATGCATTACATTAAGGATAATGCCACTATGACCACTATATTCCACTATCAGAATTAATGAATGATGTGAAGGCCAGAACTGGCCGACGGTTGTAAGTTTGGAGGGGCAACGTACAGTTGCCATCCTGTGAGGTTCAGAAGATGAG